ACTGACTGTGATGAAAGGAAAGATCACTGTAGGTAACATCTATAAACTGATAGGGAGTACAGTTGCAGGTGGAGATCGCTCTGTTGAATCATATGATGAAAATGCAACAGGAACTTTGACCAAGCCAGGTTAGATGGTTTGGTTGCCCAACCCACTTTGGTATAAAGAGACTCCATGAGATTTTTCTTCTAAAGGGGCTGAATATTCACTAAGGTGGAGATTTGTTTGGTAGGCGTATATACCGGGTGATGCATATCTCCTAAGGTGTTGGATATTCGCCAAGGTGGAGAATTGTTAGATATGGCTCATATCTAGGGAGTTGGAGTTTCTTTTGAAGAGGCGTGTCTCCTGGTGAAAAGGAGTGTCTCTTGGAATAAAGGGGGTTGGGAGGAGCGAGAGCGTGATTGTAATTTTATCCGAGGGTTAGTATATGTCTATTTATATGTGAAAACCTATGGGATGTATCTTTAACTTCTCTGAAATAATGAAACCGCTGCTCGCTCCTCCCAACCCCCTTTATTCCAAGAGACACTCCTTTTCACCAGGAGACACGCCTCTTCAAAAGAAACACCAACTCCCTAGATATGAGCCATATCTAACAGAGTTGCTCGCACCGAAAGCGAGTCTTAAAGTTGCTCCTAGAGGGGACGGAGGGGGATGGTCTTAGAGTTGTTTGCCTCAAAGGGGAGTCTTGTAATTGCTCGCTCCGAGGGGAGTCTAAGAGTTGCTCGCCACGGAGGGGAGTCATGTAGTTCTGCATTCGATCGGACGCACTTGGCATCGTTGTCAGTTGTTTTGTTATTCCCGTGACCTATCATACACTCATGGCATCGTTGTCGGTTGTTTCGTTGTCTTTGATTGATCAGACACTCTTGGTGTTGTTTTTGGTTGTTTCGTTATGCCTTTGACCAATCAGACACTCTTGGTATCGTTGTCGGTTGTTTTTTATTCTTCTGACCAATCGTGTGCTTGGCATCATTGTTGGTTTTTCTACCCGAGTTCGAGTTTCCCGAGAGCTGGAAACAAATAAACTAAGATGTATGTAAGTAAGTATATAAGTGTGTAGAAATTGAGTCGTATATGAAAATATGCAAGAAAATGATTCTTATGTGAATTTTCCATGTTTAGAGATGGCTGACCGTAGGTGGAAGCATCTGGAACAGCCGGTCGGACGGCAGTTTGTTGAAATTGTGATTCTCTTCAAAGTATGCTACAAAGATAATAACAATCTTAAATGCTGGTTGTAAAAAAATTATATATAAATGTTACGTTAAAGTGTTAAATGAAG